TAACAAACTCTAGTGGGTACTGCAAACTGGCACCCCGCCAGCAGACAGGCACAGGCCAACATGGAGAAAAGTTTTTTAATACACTTGCAAAGAATAACTACTGGTAGACAAAAGAGCACTTGTATTTTTATTCTTTCCTTTTCCTGCTTCCAGGAAACTTTAAATAGATTGATTAGGGGCATGCATGGGATCTCTCTGTAATGAGCTAGCGGAGCCATTTAATGGTGAGCTGATGCCAGCCTTGGATTTTTTCTGTATTCTTGCGTCTCCATGAATGTCAGAGTAGTCTGGTCTTGAGTCTGGGACAGGAACTGAGAAGAACACAGTTTTCTTCTTGCTCATCCAGAGGGTACTGGATAGGATCGTCCTTGGTGAAGCACCAGGCACAGAGCTGAGCTGTCTAAGGCCACCCATCCCTCTCAGGAGGGAACCCAGCAAGGGTGGCTACTGGCTAAAGTGCAAATATTCCCAGCCAAGCATTAGCTATAGGATTTGCTTCAGTAATTACCTCTACTTTAGTCTTATGACCCAATATGAGGCAAAATTACTCTTGGCCAACTTACAAGTTGCTGAGAGGCCTAGGGCATTCGGGCATGTGTCCTCTACCTGTTGGAGTGTGTTACAAGGCAGGCAGGCAGCTTTTCTTCTCAGTTATGTATTTTCTAGAGAACTCAAAGGACTGTAGTTAATGTAGCAGTAGGAATGGGTTTCTTATTCTTTAATATTAAGCAACGACATCCCTGCCACCAAGACCAGCAGAGAGTGCTATGCATGCTGAAGATAGCATATGATTGAAGGGCATGTCCCCTCTTTTCTGACCCTGGGGGAAAAATCCTCTCTTCTTTTATACACAGGCAAAATTCAGACCACCTCCATATACCTCGGCCTCTGATAATTAGGGAACCTAAATATTTGGCTCATGGTAACAATTTTATGTCTTCTAACAAGGGGAACAACGTTCCCCTAGGTCCCACTCTCTTTGAGCTGTGCTGCTATGACAGTAATGCGATTGTCACTGCCATGGTATGCTTAACCTTTGCCAAACCAGAGCTGAGGCATTAACTCAGATCCCCAACTCACATGTCTTAAAGGGCAACATAACCTGGGCTGCCTCCGCACTGCCAGACCAACACAGTTTGCGGATCAGTAATAATAAGCACGTAAATGTGACAAGCATAAGCCGTAACAATGATTGATGCAACTAGAAAAATAACAAAGAGAAGCAGAAAAATAGCAATGCGGTGGAATTCCTAGGAGCGATGTCTCCATGGCATCAGCAGCCTGATACCCTGACACCAGAAGAAAGGCTACACTCATCTGTGGCAGAAAGGATCTCTGTGCCACGCAACAAAATTCCAGTGAACAGGACAAGGACTGATGGTGTCTGGAAGTGGTAGTGCCACTGCTACCCAGATAATGGTCTGAATTAGATTATGTGAAAAAAGAAGGAATATATAGACAGCCAGCTGCTCAAAGGCTTACTACAACCTTGCTTTTATTGTTCTGCTAAGTTAGAGGTGGGGCATCAGAGGGATTCCTAACATACCACTACTGAGAAATTTTAATATGTTCCACACTGACACATATAAAAAGGAAATAACAGCTGATCATAGTCAGCAGAGACTGCAGCATCCCTTTGTATGCATGCACAGAAGTGTGGTCAAAGTGGGGTGCTCTTGGCCAGGGAGTGTCAAGCACCCAAGCTAACCTGACACCAGCTAAACCTTTCTCCTGCCGCTGAGATGAGTTTCAGCAAAAGGGCTGTTGAGCAGGAAGCTAGACAGCAGAAATAAAGGTGATCTGGGCATGGCTATTCACCCCATCCCAAGATACCAGGAGGTGTAGAAGGGCAGGGGAGCTGAGAGACTGCACATTTAACACTGATGAAAAGAAGCACATGTTTACACAACCGACAATGATCCAGTGGAACAAGATATCATAGAGGGCAAAAGTTTAGCTGGGCTCAGCAAAAGGACCTGTTCTGTATGGAAGGGTTACAGCCACAAGGGTTTTATTTTTAAAGAGTTTTTGGAAGGGTTATAAACTCTCAGGACTCTGAGAGTTCAGTTGATGGGGTTAGAGAAAAATCCTTCACCGCAGCGAGTTACCCCGTAGCTGCCTGACATGGGGTCTCTATGTCTTTCTTTGATGTGGCCGCTTCCAGCCACGCTCAAATAACATGGGACTGTGACATGGTCTCATGTAGCAAAACTTTTCTAAAACTCATAGAGACAAGTCTCTCCTCATACTCTGCAGGACATTAGAGGCAGAGGCATTAGTAGTATTTGTAATGCAACTGTCTAATATTTATAATTGCAATTACAATAGTAGTACTTGAGGAAAAAAGGGGAGGTGGTTTTTTTTCTTCTGCTTTCAGTTAAACAAATAGTCTGCCAGACTTGTTGCAAAAACAAATGTCTCAGTGGCTTCATGCAAGCTTTGCACCATAGATAGTCAGCTCCCTTCAAGGTCCAAGAACAACCTTGAGCACTTCCTAGTGCATCTGAGAGCAGACAAGCCAGGAAGGGGACACAGTCAACCCCAGGTGTAATGGGGAATGAAGCCCACTCCAGGAGGACTCCTGTCAAACGAGGCACTGCATGCATCAATGCCAGCCCCCAGGGAGGTGGCTTGCTTCCCTCCCACCTGGGCAAAAGAGATTGCAATCCTGGCAACTCAACCAAGCAAGAACACACAGGTGCTCTCACAAGCCTCAATGGCATGTGAACGATTGTTCCAGTGGGGCAGATGGCTTTTGCAGTGATCAGCCATGTGCAGGTAGCTACCTGGGGTATTGCTACTGCAAACTGTACACAAGACTGTCCATAACAAGTACCCTGTTCTGCAAGGGGGAATCATCAGCATACATACATCTGATCAAAACCAGGCAATGCACAAACCCAGGAAACCTGCACAGGATGCCATCAGGTAGAGACCTGGGCTTGTAACTAGAATAATCAGCAGCAGCCCCTAACCCTAACCCTTCACTAAATCAAATTGCATTTTATTTTGTAAGCTTGAAACATTTATTCCTTCCACATTTGCTTTTAACTGGAAATTCTGAAAGCATCTTCTTATAATACTGGTATTGCAAATAAAATTTCATTATTCCAGCAAGGGCATGTCAATGTATAAGTCACATTGGGAACCCCTGATTCAAGCTGGTAAGTAATTGCTCACCAAATAGTTCTATTTATATTGAGGGAATCATTCATGTGTATAACTGCTCACAGACATGAGTAAGGTCCCACAGCCTGAGCAAAAGTGATCATCGTTAGTAATTCAAAAGAAAAAAAAAAAAAAAAGAGGTCCTAAAATATAGATGTTCTTTTGAGGAGGGACAAATAACAGCACTGTGATTATTACATCTGCATTTTTTGACCCCACCGGGCAGCTGGGTTGCTTCTATTAGAAAATAACTTTGCGATAAGGAACTGGTTTGAAGTTAATTTATCCCCACTGTTGACTTTAAATAATCATTTGCCTGTCCCTCTCCCATATGCAGAGGTCTCATCTCTCTGCCACTAGGACAGTTACAAAGCTTTAGGAACTGTTAGTAAACAGTAAAGATATAGGAAGCATTTTTTCATCTTTAAAGAGCTGCAGAAACCTTAACAAGTTACTTGTCATGCCATCTGTCCAAGGCAGCAACAAATGAGATGTGTTATGTGTTAAATGCACTTGAGGGGTAGGATAATAAATCTGCCCGTCAGCCCAACAAGAGTCATTTCACACACACTGTCTTGAAAATTCAGATTTGCCACAAGAAAGTTCCCCCCCCACACCCTTAGCACACACTCTGTGTGAGCTTGCTGTATTGGCACTACAGGAGTTAGCCAGCGTAGTACTGATTCTGCTCTTCACATGGCTCGGCTTTGTTACTCTCTTTTTTGCTACTGGTCCCATTCATTTGAACTTTTACAGGATGAATTCACTCACCTGAATCCTAGCAGGGAGACGGGTCTTTCTTCCTCAGCTGGGCTCTCTCAGGGAAGTGTCCTTTCCCGCACCTCGCAGTGACACTACACTGACACTTTATCACTGGGCTCATACAGTGAACCTCTTCTTTTGTCCCCAAGACACAGAGAACAGTTATGCTCGCGCCTCTGACGCTGATGCACAGCAAAACAATCTGCCAGAAAATGAGGAGAGCCTCCCTCTCTCCTTCAGCAGGCGGTCTGGGGTCTTGCAGCATCCTCCCGTGTCAGCTACTGACTGCACAGCCACGCTGCAGAACGTGTCGCGCTGACAGGGTCGGCTACCTACTAAATATACCCCTCGGCGTTACAGCAAAGGCAAACACAGTGGCTTTCCTCACAGGTTTCGGCCAATCAAGAGTGTATATTAAATCTGTCCTAATCCATAGCCAGCACTGTCTAGTCCATAGTAAAGCTTCCCAGAAGTTTGGATAAATAATAATGTGCAAAATAAGAGTGCTCCTGAGAAGCGTGACACACAAAGCTAGAAATAAATATTGCCTGTTGTTTCTAATTATTCTAAGCACTCTGGCAGATGACTGGCAAGAGAACAGCATGCGTAAGTAGTGATAAAAGTAAACAGTCCAGCTTTAAACTACCAGGCTTGCCTGTGTTCATAGAGCCCTATTGTAATGGGACAAAGAAGGCGATACTGGGGCACTCTTGATGAATTCAGGGCAGAGTCCAGCACGTCCGTTCACTCCAAAGCCATACAGCTAGGACCAGTGCAGAGCTGCACGCATGAGCCCAGCGCACTCACGAGAATAGACGTTTAACCAAGTTGCTCAGAAGCACACTGGGCTGCCTATTTGACTGCGTACAGGCATCCTTCAGACAGGAGATACAGTGAAAGATATAAGGATAAGAAGGAGACACGGGTACTACAGCCATGTTGATTCCACATCAACACATTGTAATTTAAAATATTGTACAAGGAGAATGTGTTTGTCAGACAGATTAAGTGCTCTGTTTAAGCCCATGTAATACTCAAAATCTGGAGGAATCTCTTATTTGGGTGCTTACCTTTGGAAAATGCACTGCTCCTTCCTCCCCTCAAACTCTTTGGAGAGCAAAAAAGAGGTCCTGTTACTTCCAAATGCTTTTGTTCTTCTGTCCCTCTGTCACATGGCTTGCCTTTTCTATTTGCAACACACAAAAGTTAGGGCTGTTGTTTAAGAGAGAGAGGGAGAGGGAGAGAGAGAGAGAGGGAATGTCAAATGGAAAAGTGCCATTGCAGTCATATATCAATCAGGGCAGCAGCAGCAGCAGCTCGCTGGCAAATGGGAATTCCACAGAAATGTGAAGCTCTTGTTATCTGAGAAATCACAAAACACCACCAGCCAAGCTCCCCTCTGCAGGGACTTCTTATTATTGGCAAGCCAGGAAATAGAAGGAAATGTAGGCGCTTTTTTTGTTGTTGTTATTGTTTCGGATCCGGAGATACGTACGCTGTGGCATATGTAAGCCAGTGGAATAAAAGTCTTGAATCAAACTCCTTCCTAAACAAATGCAGTGTGCAAAATAAAGCAAACCACTGAGAAGCAAGGTAATAGAGCTAAGCAAAGAATCTGAAAGTAACAACTTAAAACATTTAGTATCTGTTTGCACTTGGAAAATATCCATAGAGAAACTGGCTTTTTCCCTGGATTACTCATTAATCTCCTATTTTCTGACAGGTTTTTCTTAGAATTTTTTTAACTGTGATTGATCTCAGATATCCTTAATTCAAGCTGTGCTGCTTTACTACAATTGGTCACCTAAATAATCTGACATCCATTCCCTGGCTCTCCAGCTGGGTACGCAGACAAGCATTTTCTGTATAAATACTTGTCTGCAAATCTACAATTCCGAGGCTTCATATAACCTGCTCTGAAATTCCGAAGTTTCTCTCAAATAAACTCAGAAGCTTGCTCACAGAAGCAGAGCTATTTAAGATTTCAAACAAAGATCTTTCTACTTTACCCACCTTCCTTGGAAGAATGCCAAGCTTGAAAATTATTATCCTTCAAACCTTTTATAGAAGTATGGCATCTTTTATGCAAAAAGTTAATTCCCTGAGGGGTTGAAGGCGGACTCCATCCACTGGAAAAAACCCACTTACAACTAGCGCGTTGCAGCTCTGGATGCACCAAACCCTCTTCTCCGCTTCTGCAGAGGAGCACGTTTCACTTCCCTTTGGAGTGCCCCCTAGTCGTCCTGCAGCATTACAGGAAGCACAGACCTTAGCTGGTTAATTAAAAAATAGGTGACATAGCTGGCCATTCACAAGCTGGATCTGCTCAGAGGCCCTGGCCAGCCAGATGGATGGGGTCCTGTGTCGATTGTGTTTGAACTCTAAAGGAAAGTTGGTATTTGATGGATGATGTTATTAGCTAAATGTCTTATGTGGTATAAGATCAAAGAACAGCTGGAAATTATGCCTTAAAAATAGAATAATCTAAAAGGGGAATGGCTTGTAGATGAGTAAGCATTATGGAAACAATAAAGGAGACATTCTTTGGCTCGCTTTGCTGCAGAGCCAGGTTTGGCTGGTGGGGTAGACAAATGATTCACTTAGGACTGAGATTCTCTGGATGAGAGTTTTGCCGCATGTTTTTTCCCTCATATTCAGTGTTTACGTTGTTTTGCCTCCTAAGACAAGCCCAGATTTCTCTCATCAACCATATGCGTACCAGCTCTCTGCCTGCTTCACAGGTACCACCACGGTCACCCAGGGTGGATGATGGCAAAGCTCACCAGCATCTTTTCCCCACTGTGACTGCAGGCCGAAACGTCACCGGTGCTCTGGCACTACACTTACCTTAAACAGGTAGACCATACATAGCAATTTTTTTCAATTTAGCCAACACCCTCTTTTAAAACTGAGGCTATTGGCCCTTTGGTCATTATGCTGCCAGGTTGTCTCTCTTTTTCCTTGGGAAAGAAAGTGGCTCATGTAACCCAGCTGCTTGCACGAAGGACCTGCCACGTGCAAGACAAAAGCCTGGCTAAGTAGCTCCTGGATTAAATCTTCCAGGAGACAGTCCTTACTGAAAACGATGCTTAAGTTTTTTACTAGTGCAGTTTAGGATTGTTATCTTTGTGTCATCTACAGGAAATAATATCTGCATTAGTTATTTGTTGAGTGCTAAGCATACTTTAAATACTCAACAATTATTAATAATACCTCAAACAGTGGTATTTCTGAGAAGTAGTGATCAGCGGTTTGCTACCACAGCTACACATTCCTAATACAGGAAAATCTGAAGGTATTGGACTAAAAAAAAGTGGCTTTCAATAGTGGCTTTCAATTTTTTATCTTCAGCTTCAAGACCGTGTTTGGGCAGTGAGTGGGAGTTAATCAGCAGTTAATTGACCTCATAGGCTGGTGACTTATAAACTGATGCTCTCATTTGTGGCTTTCTTAATGAACTTACACCTGCTCACAAGCACAAAAGTAGAAGCATCAAATGTAGCCTCCCCGTACCTCAAGAATACTAGGGCCTATAACTTTTTCATAGCTGTTCATAAATCTTCATCCTCTCTCAACTTCTGTGACTTAATCTCACCCATAAAAACAGTCATTTTAAAGAAACAAATAGAAGTGTAAAGCACAGGAGCTAAGATCTCAGTTTTCAAATATGATTAAACATCTGAGATGGCCCCACATATTAGATAAGTTTTCCAGAAGATCTAAGATAGCCTTCTCCCATCAGTTTTGATCTGAGTTCCTTTCAGAAGGAGTTTATCTCACTCAGCAGTACTTGCCAGAAAACTAAGTTTGGGCTCTCCCAGCAACAATGGAGAGTTTGCATCCCAAATTGCTTTCAGTTCAGGCCAGTTTAAGGTTGGCATCGATAACGGTTTTTCTTTCTGTGAACAACCAAAGATATTCCACTGACTCCGACTAAATATCTATTTTTTTTTTGAATATGTTAAACTAGGTGAGATAAATCCCTCCCTCAAGGACTCAGGCTGTAATTTTGAAGAGATGGAGACCCACCTCTGCATGGAGTTCTACCACCCTCCCTGGTTCCATCCCCATGAAATGCACATGGAGTTCTACCACCCTCCCTGGTTCCATCCCCATGAAATGCATTGCAGACGTGCAACCCTAATTCACAGGTTTCTTTATTTCACCACTGTACGACCCACAAGACTCATGTTTGTGCTTGGAAAAGCATTGTAGTACCATCACCTGCAATTCAATGAGACCAAATTGTTTGCCCTATTGGCACCATCAAGCACCATGTTGCTTGATTTCACCTCTCCATCGTGCGCATGTTGTGAAATGGATTCAGAATTCTGCAGCAAAATCAATCTCTTGCTTCCATCTGAAGGATTTTCCAGTGCTTTGTGGTCTTCCACAGGCAGTTATTATATTCTGAGACAGTGGATAGCAGACCTCCATATCATCAAATGTACTGTCAGAACAGGTGCTACTTGGTATCTGTGCTGATTGTGTCTTTAAAGACCATGAGGATGCGAGGATGATTTTAAAATGTCGATACATACTCGTGCACAGACATAAACATGCACAGTACTGCTGCAAGTATTTAGAGTGGGTACGATGTATAGGAATACAGTTCAGGGAAGGACAATGCTTTGTTCCATTATTGAATTGATAAAGGCTGGTTCAGGACTTGTCTATCGGTATTCTTTTTGTAGCTGGGAATGTAGGAGGAACTGAAAGTATTGTAATGATAGTCTACAGTAACAAGCAACGTAATACTTATTAAATGAATACATGCTTTGTGCAGACAAGAGGTACCCAGAATTCTTAGAGGAAGTATTATCTATAATTTTAATAAAAAGATAAACATTAGGTAAATAATTTTCCCAGTAAATGAAATTACACACCCACATACATCAGTGCAGGAGCAGGTGGCACAAAAACCTGTTTAGGCACTCAGTGCTTTTTACCTGTTTTGTCACCCCATTGTGCCTTCCCCAGATTCATTTTGCAAGGATATTTCAATACCTAAACACATATATTCCTCTGTAACCTAAATGGGCCTCTTCTTTCAACGTTTATACGTATCCATGAACATGTGTTGTTAAGACACAGTATCTGGAAATGTTTATTCTGTGCCTTACACATATGCCGTTATTACAGCAAGGCTCCTTTCATATAGGGAATAAGGCTGCTATGGAGAAGACTGTGAAAACTGGGTCTGAACTGTTTGCTTATTCATTTTATCCCAGAAGTCAGAAAGACATATTGCCTGTGGACTGTTCTCAGACTTTAGATTGACTTGCAAATGTGGTTGCAGGAGGACCAGAAGTTGGTGTCCCCCTGGCTCCTTCAGTAAGAAGCAGGAGCTGGTCAGGCTGGGCTCCCCTGCAGTGTGCTGCCTACAAGGCACAAATGGCTTTGGAGTATTGGTGCTTAAAAAAGACAAGCTCAAGAACGTGACAAGGAAAACAATATACCAAGGAGAGATCTTGGACGAACAGTGGCCTGAGCAGGTCTGTGGGAGAGAGGTGGGTGGCAGGCAGGTGGGGGAAGTTTAGCACAAGGGATTTGAGTGGATAAAGTCGCTGCCAGACCTTAGTCACACTTGGGCTCCCCAGTGCTCACCGCAGAGCCGTGATGAACAGGTTGTATAGGACAAAGAAGAAGCCTGGACTCCCACACATTTTAAAGCCTATGGTTAAATCCCTCCAAGTTACCCACTCAGGTTTTGCCACTACGTTACCTTCAGCTCCCTGACCCCTGCATCTCTCGATGATGTGTAATGTTCCACCTTGCCTTTGTTCTCTCCCACAAAATTTTTAACTGAACAAGGACAGCATGCCCTCCAGGGCTGGCAAGCACATGCTCATCATCCAGCACACTGCAGCTCCTCGCCTTCTTAGACTGCCAAACTGTGGGTGCTTCAGTTTGCTTCTGCAGGACATCAATAGGATGCAACACTCCTGCCTAAGCACCGCAGCTTCTTACATATCCAAGAACTTGTCTAGAAACTTCATTTTCTCAGAGACCTTTGCTTTGAGGTTAAAATTGGTTGAAATTGGGCAGCTAGTTGAAACACTGATGGAAGAAACTAACATTAGGGCAAACAGACAAAAAGGTAACTCAAT